CTCAAACTCCATTCGTATTCACGTCTACATTTAAAAAGCCGATCCGTCACAGATGATGTTCTGGCCTCGGCCGGGAAACAGCTCCATCTGCCAGTAACGAGGGTCAGCGTACACTGCGGAAAAAGGTAAAAGGTCATGGGTAAGATTGAACAACTGTGAAGCGAAACATTTCATTTCTGAGGTTTAGAAGAGTATACAGGGAAATGGAACTAGCTTAGGTTCATGTTAAGAAGGTAGAAAGGTAGTAAAGGTGTGTTTTTTACACTCATATTGTTTTAGGCCATAGATCATGCAAATCATTTGTTAATTTTTACTGTGTGGAGTTCAACAACTGAATAAGAGCAGCTTCAGTTACCCATGTCTCCATGTGTCAGCCACAGGTTGAAGGAGCTGCAGTGTTTCTGACAGCGCTGAACGGGCAGAACTCGAACTGTTGGCAGGCCTTCACCCACCACCAGCCACCCCAACACCCTGACCCCCTGTGACACCAGCAGAGGCAGAGGATGAAGGTAAACATGTAGTAACATAAAACAGGATACTGTAGTTTTTAAAGCCACATCCACACACTTCTGTCACTGCATCTGCTAAATTAAAAACAAAGCTAACGAATAAGGCAAATTCAATTAGCTGTACTCACCTTGCTCTGGGAGTTTGTGCTGTGGGTGACAAGGCAGCGCTGCAGGATGGTACCTGCACTGTCCAGTAGAGGGCAGAGCTCTGCTTTTGGAAAGAGCCACCTCAACACTTTCTCCCTGGTTCCAGAGCTGAACCTCCTGCAATAAAAAAAACTGGCAATTAGCAATAGTAGTACAAATACTTAACATATACATATTACTACTCTACACCTTCTGCATAGAAAATACTGCAGAAATTGTGGATCACAATTCAACAGTAAATTAGTGACTTTTGGTTTTCTCCACAGGATTTTCCTGGTTAAGTACAGGGCAATAAAAATAAGTTCAATATTATATGCACTTGTGTACCAGAGCAGGGTGAAGTTGGCAGGTCCTTGAGGAAGAGCAAAATTGTGGGTCTGCACACTGCCATCATCCTCCTCCAAAAGAATGGACATAGACCCTGGGTGGGCCAAATAGAGCTCCTCAAGTTGCTGCCGCTGGACACTGAGAGACTCTCCACCCTGGAATGTTTGGATGGACAACGTGAATCAACTGCAAAAAACTCAAGGTTTAAAAAAATACAAGTGTGTAATTAAAAGTTTTATTCTGACCTTCAGGAGGACAAGCTGTGGCCCCCGGCGCAGAGTCACTGTCCCTCTCAGGCTCTCTGGGACCTCCAGCACAGAGGAAATCTCCGCACAGCCAGAACAGTTGACCAAATTTTGCCGTAAAGAGCCTGCACTCCACCACTCATGGAACCCTGCAGGAAAAAGAATCAAGGAATTAGAACCAAACATTTTATTAGACAGCAATAACTTGTGCCTTTACAGACAGAATGTGAGTCAGCCGTGTACCTTGCAGGTTGTACTTCTTGGCAATGGGCAGGGACAGAAGGCGGACATGGCTGAGGGGGGACGACCAGTTGCAACAGCCAAGGTTGACCAGACCAATCTGGGGGGCATTCTGAGGGTAAGTAAAGGCCAGGACCACCACCAGCAGGAAGCCCACGGCCACTACAAACTGCATTGGAAAAAGATGAAGATAATCCTCTTCCAGATTAAGACTTCAATAAATACTTATACAAAAGTTTTAGTTGAATTTTCAGGTAACTATTTTAGTGCTATATCGTTTCACTGTCTGCCTGACCTTGATTGTGGCTCTCAGAATGGGGAACTGCGGAGGCTCTCTTCTGGGCTCATTGGTTTCCAAGACCTGCTTGATGAACCTCTCGATCTCCCTCTCCGACATTCCATAGCGATAGCCTGACTTTCGGAGGATGTCGATGCTCTCTGACAACTTGTCGTAGATACACGGCTCACTCATTGTCGTGCCCATGGCAGCAGAAAATACAGTGGCTTTCAGGTCAAACACTGTGATCTTCAGCTGCTTTATGGTCCACAAGCATGTTGTCACCTGAGGAGTGATCATAGTCTGGATGGGTATATTCTGAATGATGACATTTACTGTGATGTTCACCATTGTTAGACTTTGAGTGCATGGGCATTAAGTGTAGGATATCTAAAAATGGCAACACACACAATGGAACCGCCAACATAATGTTAATTGAAGTTAAAAATCTCCTAATCATTAACAACATTTCCTGAATTATTTGGCTTTGTCTAGTTTGTATAAACAGGCTATGAATTTGTCTTCTCAAGAATAAATATAATCTACTGTCAGTTGTTAAATAAAAACCCTGGCTAAGGCAATATGCGATCTAATCACTAGTTAAAAACGAAATTAAGTCGTTAGATAATTTTGCTTTCAATGCCCATGTAAGTGGATTGGTGCTGCCTTGTGTAGGGTAGGTTAAAAAAAGTGAAATATGCAACTAGTCGATTATTTCATTATAAGTCTTAAATGGCAGTGAAGCTTATTGTTTAAGTTACCACTGAAAAGTAATGTGAATATCCTCCCTTTTAATCCGCCATGATATAGTGTAAAAGCTTTACTGCGTAATTTAATACTTAAGGGAAACCCGACTCCTAACGGATCACAGCAAAAAATACAACAGTTTATCGTTAAATTATACAAAAGTCCTTCATAATGTGACTATGTACATGATTTAGCTGAGGGAAGTGGCGGAAGCTACCGTATTTAACAGTTTGACAGGTTAGCTTGACTCGGCTAAATAATATGGTCAGTTTACAAAAAACTACGATAACAAATATACAAACCTCACCTCAGACTAAGATCCACAGCTGCATAGCTGAGTCTTTGGGTATCAAAACCAGGCCGTAATTTTAAATGTCAATGAATAAAATAACCGTTGTTATGAAACATTAACGAACATAGTAACTGCTATATAGCTACCGCGGACCTTATTCTTCGTTGCTTGATATTTTTATGGCAGTAACAATGAATCATTGCACTTTAGCGCCCTCTGTAGGACTAAATGTACACTGTATATATTTATTTTAAATCAAATGTAATGTATTCAGTAATGCTTTAATGAGTTTACACGTCACTGAAACAAAAAAGTCGTATTAACTCATCATTTCTGTTATATAGAGTTGCATTGCATAAGTTGAAGAGTGGTTAGTGTTCTTGCCTACTTACACTGCTCGAGCCTATCTGTTAACGGTATCGAGTTTACTATCCGGTTTACTCCAAGTAATATTGTTTCCCCCGTATTCCAAACAAGCTACTCGTTTGTTAACAGCATACATGTGTGACTGTAAGTGTGAGTTATTGTTTGTCTCTATACTATATGTGCCCCTGTGCTTGACCGCTAAGCTTGTGTACTCCGCCTGTGTAGCCCAATGAAATAATTAATAATTACCATTAATGTTCAGTACAAAAATATAAGCTTCTCTTTTGACAATCTGTCTGGTATATGAATGAAATACGGAATTGCAGGTTATATAATTCAGTGCAGTAAAATGTATCATTTTCTATTTAATTTATCTGGGTTACACGGTTAGTTGATGTCAATCCATTAACCTAATGCATTAACCTTATAACAAGGTCAAATTATGTAGCGTAGCTGTGTTTAAGCTCTTGTCTTCACTTTCTGCTTTAACTATTGATTAAATACGTACGTTGCGTTCAAATGGAGGGCGTTTCACAAAGTTATTTTGCAACTCTAGAAAAAAACATCAGCTCCACCTCAAACAGAACCAAAACAAGGCAGATGGACCAATGAAAGAGCAGATACAGCCAACATTTCCGTTACTTGTGTAACCATTAAAAAGCACCGACCAAGCTCAAACGTCAAGCTGCAGTATCGCTATGAATGTGTTACCGGAAACCAATTGTACATAAGACAATACCTTTAATCAAACGATTGCAATTGAAAAAAATGAATGAAGAAAATAAAGCGTAAAATTCAACATAACAGTTAAGAAGTTAAGTAAACATAATTTATTACATTGTCGGGTAAGGACGCTTTGCTTACGAACCAAAAATGAATCAATAAAAGTGGAATTTATATTTAAAAGATCGTTGTAAAAAATCATATTAGTAAGAATTTTTGTTTGATGTTTCTTGTTTGGTGCAATCTGCTAAAATTGTCTTTATCTTCAGAGCGTTGTGCATTCAGTCCTGTTGATGAATCTTGCGTAACATTTCTTTTACTTTGAAAGGCATAACTGGAACAATATGTGTTACAAACTCGACCTTATTGCGAGTGATCCCTGCTGTTTCGAGTGAGCTGGATGTGCTTGAGAAGTACGGAATCTACGGACTGATAAGCGTTGCTATTTGGAAATAGTGGAACTGGAAAACAGCTTCCACAAATTTGCAACACTCTTCCTTACTTTCTCCCTCATAGACCAGGCTACTGGTCATTTTAAACCAGTTCACGCCGTTGTTCTGCCTTTGGTCCTCGTGTTGTGGTTACGAAAGCTTAGCGTGTCTTAAGGTGGAAGCAGTCCCTTGTCAAGATGCTGTCTTCGGGCAGGAGCGTCTGTTCCCGGCTGCTGAGTCCGTTAACAAGGCTCTCTCTCAGGTCGGGTTATGATGGAAGAGCCGCAAGTACTATGCAAAAAGGTAGGGCGGCGTTATTCGGTTTATTAGATACATACCGTAATTGTTAGCTTAAGGCTATTGCTAAAGTGACGCAGTTTATTGACGTGACACAAAACTTCCCAAAACCAACTCATTATTGTTTTATTTTATTTCATATAGAAACACATAACATAACAAACAATTGACAGACTGAATTACATGAATTTCTATACCGGAATCAAGAGAAAACCACACTTCCTTTTGGTGGTTCAACTAAAAGAGGAACATTGCAGAATGTTTACTGTACACTATTCAATCAAATCCGATATGACAGTTAAAGGGGGAGCGGGCAAAAAGGCAAACTGAAAGATATGGGGAAAAAATAATTGAAAAAATCATTGTGGAGCGAATAAGGGACTGTAATAAATTAGTTACTAAGAGTTATTGGGTAAACATAATGTTGAATCAAGTTAAAATCCAAATCTCACTAAAGGCCACATTCATTAAATATGTTTCAGCGTCTGCATATCACTGACATATATATGTATACAGCTTTTTAGATATGCAGCCTTTTAATCACATAA